TGCCTGTATATATGGATATTGCTAGTAAGAACTTAATAATAAATCCATTGTGCTTTTCTAGGTGCCTCAGTATGCCCATGGACACAGTATTTATAATTATGACCCTTAACTACCTCATTGGACAGTATGAGGATTAGTAAAATATTACATCAATATATTTGAATTGTTTAGATAAAAGTGCACAATGCAATTAATTTATATTGTATATGTTTCTGTGACAATTACACATTTTGTACATCTTCAGAAGATTTCCATTTCTGTATGTACTAGTTACCTCAATCATACTTGTGTTACAGCTGAGACCATGACTTTTATAGTAGAAGTTTTAAGTTAAAGCTATAAATAAAAAAATACTTAATAGTCCTGTTATGTTAATAACTTAGGATGCCCTGGATTTTATGATACATTGAGATGGAATGTCACTTCTTATGTTGGGGGAGGGTGGCATGTTATTCCTGGAGGCTGTGACACAACATAAACTATTAGAGCTCTCAGTGGGAAAATATATATACATAGGATTTTTGTTTGTTTGTTTGAGGCCAGCAAGTAGAAGGCCCCCCCCCAAATATTTTTCCATTGGTTCATCTATATATGAATTTCAAATTCATGTTTCTTTATTCTTAGACACAGGGGTTATACACACACACATGCGTACACACATATGGGTATGAAACAATTTCCAGCTAATAACAGTACTGATAGTTAGATATGAAATTTTCAAAATGCACTGCGTTTTCCAGTTTACTTCTTTTCTACTGATCATTGTATAGGAATCTGGATTTTTTTTGTCAAGTAACTTGTTCACAGTCAGTCTTAATATGGTCCTAGTGAGGTGGGTGGATATCAACAGGTGATGTGCAGAGAGAGCAGGAATATATAATAACTTGACTAAGATGACCCCGTTGAATAACCTCAAGCAAGAATTCCCGTGATGACGTGGAGGAGTGCCAGAATCAGAGGAGGAATAGTCTAGACTGGATAAATGGATATACGGAAGAAATGAGAATTTGGTTCTTAGTGAATTGCACTGATAAAACAAAGAAAAGGAAGCACTCCTATCTGTGTTCTAGTTTGTATGAAAGTTCTGGGCAAAAGTGTTTCCAGGCAGAATGTTTTTCAAGGCTTTTTAAGAGGCGTCAACAACAGTTTAACGTCTCAGAAGTCAGCTTGCAGACAGACATTTCTGGCAAGGTGGCTTGTTTCAAGTCCAAATGATCAGAACAAGAAGAGGAATGTTTCAAAAGCCTACCAAGAAAAAAAAAATGTGTTTGAACTCTGTTTGGGAGATCCATGCCCAGCAGACTTCGATTGAAATCACTCCAGTAAGAATATGTGTAGGCCAGATTAGAAACACTGGCCTAGTCTGGTCACTGGGGTCCTATTTACAGAAATAATTTGTGATTATTTAACCCAAGTTTTTGGCCAAGAGCTCAAGAAATTTCTGGAACAGGAGTTTAAAGCTATTTTTCAAGTCAGATGCTTAGACCAAAGAAACTTTTTACGTGTCTACCAGAGCCTAAATGAATCCTATGCGAGATGATTCACTAAATGTATTTATCCTCCCTTATTCCTTTTATACCTTTTTCTCACATACTTTCCCCACCTGTTATTTTTGACAGGCTCCAATGTTCTCCTGGCCCCGGTTGAGGGACGCTGACCCCATCCTGCGCTGTGAGATGGCTTCCACCGGAGAGGTAACTAGTCCATGATCCATGGACAATTTCGACTTTGAAATCTATGGTTTTATGATCTGAATGTAGTGAGTAAGTTAGTAAGTAGTAAGGAAGACACTTCTTTTGCTATCAAAGTAAGTCTGAAAAGGCTTAAGAAGTTTGAAATGAGGAAAAATCTTTTGCTTTTGCAGACCAGAGTCTAAATTTTCACTTGTATTTCAACATGTGACCATAATACGTGTGTTTGTCATTCATTTCCACATCACACATTGAGAATGTCTTTCAAATATTTCTCTTGACATCTAAGTAAATATCTTCTGGTTCTTTCTTTTTATTTTAAGTTTCTCTGGTCTTTCTGTAACAGCACGTCTCTCCACTCCCCTAACTTGCCTTGCTACAGGGAAGTTAGACCGTGGAGTTTTTACTAGCAATATGTAGAATGAATATACAGCATTAGAAAGATAACGGGGGCTGAAACATTGTGGAATCTGCAGATACATGCAGAATCCCAGGACCACTTTCAAAGCAACTTTAACCTCCCAGGGATTATCTAAAGACTATAATGGGACTGGCCACTGGATGTCCCTCTTCACTTGTGTTGGGGACTCTGTCAGCTGAAGGTTTCTTTAAAAATGTGAAATGTGTTTCTTGTAGAGATCTGTCAGATTCCAGAGAGTTCCCTACATGTCAGTGTCAGGACATTTTATAAATCACCTAGCCCTTGACAGACTTACTCGATACAACCTTCAGATTCTCATCAGTGCACCCGGGAGTGGCAGCATCAGACTGGGAAGCACCATTGTTTCCTCTTGGTATTGAGGAAAACCTGGAAGGGGAAAATACTTAATTGTAACAAATACGTGATGTTTTATATGGTTGCCTGGTTACAGGCAAGATCTGTGGTGAGAAGCCAAGTGAGACCGGAAGGGAGGCAGGGAGGAATAAATGGCTATCTCGTTTGAATTTGGACTGATGATTGCCTTCTCTTAGCAGCTTTGCTGCTTCTGTTAATTTAATAGGTGAGAAAACCTAACTTGAAAATGAGGGACCTACGTTACATTTCTCTGCTGTTTGAGGAGACAGTCTTTCAGGTCCATCTTGATCCCGTGGTCACTCAGCAGCGGGGCTGTTTTCAGCTGGCTCAGGGTTCAGATCCGGGAGAGATCTGTTTCCTTCATGCTGTTTTTTCTAGTGTGGCAACTCTATTTTCAGCACTTATGTCCATCCTGCTTCCAAACATACATTATTGGAGTTGTTGAAATACGAACATGTGAGAGAATTAGAAATCCAGCTCCCCCTTTCTTGTCTCTGTTTCAGAAGTATAGACAGAGAATTCTCCTTCCATTATTAGAGTCGTATTTCCAGGTGTGACATTACAAGGTCTGCTGTATAACCAAAAATCAGAATAGTTCTAGCTCGGTGAAATCTCAGTTATGCTTCAGCAACATTTGCAATGTTTAAAAGGCTTGTTGTGGGATTAAATAAGCCTTCAGCATTCCTAGTGGTGAGGTGAGGTGAGGTGGTAGTCCTGATCTTTGCTTACATATTTAGTTACTTCCTATGTTTTTTGTAGAAAACTGCTGAAACTTCTGAAGTATTGTTGCATATGCACTTACGATGGGCTTGCCCAGGTTCTTTCAGTAGAATTTGGCTCCTGTTAACTTAGGCTGATATTGCTTAAATTGGTTGGTCAGTACTTGTCCAAAGAAAACATTCTCTGTGGAGTGAAAAGCAGCATGTACTGGTGGTCAGCTGAAAATCACAGTCACGGGAACTTTCTTTTGACAGTAAGGGAGTCATTTGCTTCAAGAATAAATTTAGCCATCAGTATTATTTACTCTAATGGTGGTTCTGTACCTGTGCCAAATGATGATGTGCATGGCAGAATCTACCCCATCATGCTTACATAGAACACTTGTTCTGTAGTTATGGTGGTCATTGGACTCGCAGCACAGTTACCCTAGAAGAAGCCCCTGTATATCCTAACATTACATACTAATTTGGATTTTTTTTTTTACATATGGCTATAGTATTCAGGACTAGTAGCAAGGTATTTTTTGTTCATTTTTATGAAAATAATAATAATAATAAAACAAGCTTCTTTGAGATTTTCATAGATATATTGAATCTCTCAGAAGGCTTTCTCCTTAGCTGTCTGAAGTGACTCCTAGCCAATTGATCAGCAGTTACGCATTTGTGCTCCTGACCCGTGAACTCATGCACTGTTGCGTAGCATACACGGCATATACTGTTATTTAAACATTAAGTGAAATTAACATTTGGTAACCCACCTCATTATGGGCTAGAAGCTGTGATTTGTATCCAAATATCTCACAGTAGAATTCAGTTATGTTGCTCCATGGAGTGTTGTTGGATAGAGAAAGCATTGCTTATTTATTCATTATGCTTAATTAAAAACATAAGATACGTCTACTTTGGCCCGACTTTTAATCCCTGGATTCAGATTGCATGGTCTTTGGGCAGCTGAATCAATAAAACCTAGCACAGGAGTCTGTGGCTTTCCATGTGTGTCTTTTTTTCGTAAGGGTGGTTGACTGTCATTTGCTTCCTTTTATTTTATTTTTTTCATTTATCCTAAACAGGTGGCTTGCTTTGGTGAAGGTATTCATACAGCTTTCCTAAAGGCGATGCTTTCCACAGGGTTTAAGATACCCCAGAAAGGCATCCTGATTGGAATCCAGGTAAGTGGTGCGTGGCTGTGTGCATGCCTGTGGGCACATGCTGACAGTGGCTGGGGGAAAGCACTTTAATTGTGGTATAGAAGAGGGGAGATTTGTTTAAAGTTCCACTGCAGAGAACGACAACCTCTAGAAAGAATGGGCATTTGTTTTCTGCATGTTCTCTGATTTTTGCTGTTTTTCTACTGCAGCAGCTAATACAAATAAGTGAATAAACAAACAAATGAAAAACAGAAAGAGAAAGTCTTTAGGGAAGGGATATTTTTCCTGAAGGGGATCTCTTCTATTTCTTGGTTACATCTTTTTTTATGTATTTTTGCTTTCAGTTCTTCCTCTTTAGCTTCTGAACACAGGCTTTCCGTAAATTTGAGTCTTACCTCTTCTTTCTTTCTGTCTCTGTCTCTCTCTCTTGACTTTCCCTTTGACAGATCAGTCACGTCTATGGTATCCACTTTCCTGTCTGAAACTATCAACTTTAAATCTTTATCCTCAGCCATTCCATATTTCTCACAATCTGCTGGGTAACTCTATCTGGATGTCTTAAATTCAACACACCCCAAACTGAAGTCATATTATCCCCTCCTGACCTCTATTGCTTCCTTCCTTATAGTCATTCATTCACATTTCAATTTCTACTAAATGTCAGTGATTCAAAGTTGAAGAAGATATAGGCATTATTTGAGAAATTGTCTCAGTCCGATACGCCAACACTAATTGAGAGTTCTTAAAGGGCAGTGACTTAATGGGCTTGAGAAAGTCAGCACACCCCACAGTATACTTGAAATATTACTACTTAGTGAAGTCTTCTAAGTCAATGCAGGGTGAAATAATCATAAGTGGATATCTTCATCCAATGAAAAGGGCATTATTGCCTTATTATTGCAAGTCAAATGTAAATCTTAGGGCAAAATGGGAACCAGGAAACTCTTAATACTGTTTGGAATAATTATTGCGAGAATGTACAAACTGTTTGTTTATGCACTGCCTAAAAAATACTAGATGTTTCCCAACTGATCATTCACTTTCATTTGAGACTAGTAATTCTTGGAGACTATAAAAACAATAGATGATGTTGTATGTCACCCCTGCCATACTTTTAATAAGTTCAAACCCTGCATGGTTACATACAAATCAATAAAAATATAATTAGAGTAGTACCAGGTATTTTCAAGTCAGTGGATGGTTATCATAGATGCCGTCTCACTGGAGTGCCTTAATATCAGCAAATTAGACTCTGGAGACTGGCTGATAGTGGCTTTGAAGAAGTTTCTGCAGGGAGTAACTTGGGATTTTGCTTCATAAAGGTGCCAGAAGGGCGATGGTGAACAGTTAGAGCAGAGGCTAACAAGATGACTTGCAGTTGTGAAACTTAATGGTAGTTTAGAGACATTCTGCACCATATGAGAGACTCATCACATTATAAATGGGTATTAAGTATTATTAAGTCACAAGTCTGAGAGTATTTGCCCAACTTCCAGTTATGGCTTAAAGTTTAATGTGAGACCTGGGGGCATTCAGAGGAGACCATGCCCTTAGTCTCCATCCTCACAACTAATCATAACAGTGCTAACATTTAGAAATACCAGTTTAGGAAGGCAGTGATGTATAAAATTGTGCCTTGTTTGGTTCCAGTGCTGCAGGGAAATGTAAAGCAAAAATTAATTTGATCCCTAAGAAGCACTTGTGTGATTTTGGCATCAGTGAACAGATTTTTGCTTTGTAGGGAAAAAGAGGTTTTATAGGGGAAAAAAAGAGTCTTCTTAAAGCCATGAGGTTCTGTTCATTGAACTTCTACCTTTCAGTGTATTCTTTTTTAAACAAATCAATGTTCTAGCAGCTTCCTGAATTTTTGCAAAGAGCTTTCTCCCTGTGCATGAGTACATAATGTTAGAATTTAAATAGATATGTATTTTAATTACAAAATTTTAAATAGTGTATTTAAAGAAATATTTAATAAAATTATATTTGATAAAATATTTGCAGCTGTAGTAAAACTGATCATCAATACTCTAAGCCTCTAGAAATAGGCAAGAATCATTTTCTGACCTACTTTATATGGGAAGCAAAGAAAAACTGATGTCTCCAACAGTTAATGTATAATCCCTTCATTACTATGTGGAGGATTTTCATTTACAGTGATTTTGTAAAAAATGTGGAGTCATAAATTTAGCTGAACACTATGACACAATATACTAACCAGAAAGTTAAGAGTTATATAACTCACTGGGCATCTTTTTTAGTTAGAATGGGACCAAATCTAGTCTCAACTTTTTACCTAGGCTTCATAGCAACTGTGGATAAATTAATTAGAATTCCATATTTCAGCATACATTGTCCTTTAAAAGAATCACTTTATTTAACTTGTTTCCACTGGGCCAGAAGAAGTCATATAAACTTGTTCAAATATATAGAGTCAGAACTGGAGAGGACCTAAAATAGTATTGCTAATATATAAATGGGGATTAGGGCCAGTAAATACAAGAGAAGGTATTTAGTTATGTAATGCTGTACTAAGAAAGCAAGTCCACAACTGCATTTTGATTTCTTAGGATAATCATTCATTTCACGTGGTGCTGTGGAGAGCATTGGTAGCCAGCACTGTTGCAGTAATTTGCTTTATTATCCCTTCACGTATAAGTGGAGAGGATGGTCGGTCCCATTTATTTGAAGTGAAGGTTTTCTTTTCTCTTTATTGCCCCACCCTGATCCAGCTGCCTGCTATGAGTAGAAAGATTTACTTGAAGAAACCTTAGCTCTAATTTTTCACAACAAGTTGCAAGAGAAAATTGGGAGGTGGGGGAGAGAAATATGGAGCAAAGGCAAAAATGACTCAGAGCCAGGAAACATTTCTTTTTTTTTTTTACATTTTTATTGATTCATAATCATTTTACAGTGTTGTGTCAAATTCCAGTGTTCAGTACAATTTTTCAGTCATTCATGGACATATACACACTCATTGTCACATTTTTTTTCTGTTGTATTTATCTATTAACATTTTGTGTATATCTCC